TACAATGTACAGTATTGAACAGTCACATGTCCATACAATGTATAGAATTGAACAGTCACATGTTCATGCAATGTAAAGTATTGAACAGTCACATGTCCATACAATGTACAGTATTGAACAGTCACATGTCCATACAATGTATAGAATTGAACAGTCACATGTTCATGCAATGTAAAGTATTGAACAGTCACATGTCCATACAATGTACAGTATTGAACAGTCACATGTCCATACAATGTATAGAATTGAACAGTCACATGTTCATGCAATGTAAAGTATTGAACAGTCACATGTCCCATACAATGTACAGTATTGAACAGTCACATGTCCATACAATGTATAGTATTGAACAGTCACATGTCCATACAATGTATAGAATTGAAGTCACATGTTCATACAATGTACAGTATTGAACAGTCACATGTCCATATAATGTATAGAATTGAACAGTCACATGTTCATGCAATGTAAAGTATTGAACAGTCACATGTCCATACAATGTATAGTATTGAACAGTCCCATGTCCATACAATGTATAGTATTGAACAGTCACATGTCCATGCTATGTACAGTATTGAATAATCACATGTCCATACAATGTATAATATTGAACAGTCACATGTCCATACAATGTATAGTATTGAACAGTCACATGTCCATATAATGTATAGTATTGAACAGTCACATGTCCATACAATGTAAAGTATTGAACAGTCACATGTCCATAAAATGTACAGTATTGAACAGTCACATGTCCATACAATGTATAGTATTGAACAGTCACATATCCATACAATGTATAGAATTGAACAATCACATGTCCATACAATGTATAGTATTGAATAATCACATGTCCATACAATGTATAGTATTGAACAGTCACATGTCCATGCAATATGTAGTAATGAACAGTCACATGTCAATGCAATGTGTGGTATTGAACAGTCACATATCCATGGAATGTATAGAATTGAACAGTCACATGTGCATACAATGTAAAGTATTGAACAGTCACATGTCCATACAATGTACAGTATTGAACAGTCACATATCCATACAGTGTATAGAACTGAACAGTCACATGTACATGCAATGTACAGTATTGAACAGTCACATGTCCATACAATGTATAGTATTGAACAGTCACATGTCCATACAATGTATAGTATTGAACAGTCACATGTCCATGCTATGTACAGTATTGAACAGTCACATGTCCATACAATGTAATAGTATTGAACAGTCACATGTCCATAACAATGTATAGTATTGAACAGTCACATGTCCATGCAATATGTAGTAATGAACAGTCACATGTCAATGCAATGTGTGGTATTGAACAGTCACATATCCATGGAATGTATAGAATTGAACAGTCACATGTGCATACAGTGTATAGTATTGAACAATCACATGTCCATACAATATTAAATCTCATGTCTTACCATCTGTAAATTCTTTATCATTGATAGTTATCTTCCTCATCAGGAATTTTTCCTTCAATCTATATTCTGGGGTGCTGCCTGTTACTGATCTTCTGGAGTTAGGCTTACAACACACAAGTAGGCCATCAAATAGAAATACATGTCGCTCCGTGTATGCCTGCGAAAAATAATCAAGAATTCACTAAGAAACTGAAAGGCTTTCCATAAAAATTCCATTTGGAATTCACTCAGCACACTGGAAGATTTGTTTCAGGCAATGAACTTGACGATGGCTGCTGATGATAAAGAGAAATTTATCTGAATCAGTGAGCAACCTACCCTTCTACCAGTTTTACCAAGTACACCTTCCATTATAAAATCATTGCAGCTTTCACTAATGTTTTTTCCTTCCCAACCATCTATACTTTTCTGTATCTCATTCATTTTCTTGATAGAAGGCTGTCGTGATATCAACCTCCGATTGAAGCCAAGCCATGACTCACTGTTGGAATGAATAACATTCAATTGATCAATTCAAACAATTACACCACAATGAGATTGAAAAACACAGGTGAATACACTTTTACACAGATTTCAGAATTGGAAGACATCACAATATTCAAATTAAAAAAAATACTATGAAAAAATTTTGTTACGAATCCCAAATGAGGAAAAATTAATTGTCAAATAAACTGCACAAATTAATGAATTATTAATTGTTAGATGCAATTTTAATTATTTATCCACTACTGTATAATACTTTTTATTCATGGAATGACTCAAAACTCACCCAGCTTTCCTCTTTGGCAAGGATCCACTACATACTCTATCCAGATTCAATTGCAACCCATGTAACAAACCAGATGCCTGTTAAAACGAATAATACATGTTATAGTTCGTATTTCGCTCCTACAGGAAAACCTGCTTTCGTATTCTTACAGAAACCAAGCCATTAAAATTAACCATGAGATAAATTTGAATAACAAATTGTGGTTGGAGATACATATTCGACTACAACATTAAAGCAAGAATATTTAGGTAGACTGTTTACCTCTGCAAGACGGTCCTTATCATCACTGGACGGTGATGTCTTCTCTAAAATCTACAAATCAAAATAAATATGGAGTTTGCTAAATATACAATTACCCTAGGAAATATGTAATATACTAACATCAATCAGACATATTGGCAACATGAATAAAAGACAGGCCACCTACCTTTAAAACTTCAAAATAATGTAAACAATGATAGATGGGTTCTAATAATAATCTGGGTAAAACATACTGTACAGCTTCTTTGAACCCTTGACCCATAGACTACAGTTAAACAGAGAAAGAAACCATGTGATAGCTGAACTATATCTGGAGATATCGCCAAAAAAACAGTAAGACTCTGACATACAAATCTAGCATGACAGTACTGTGTATTATTCCATCATACAGACAATAAGGGGAGAACAATGCAAAAAACAAATGGGCAAGGCTTCAATAGTTTTACTATAGTAAATTATGAGCAAATTTAATATTTAATCCACTGTAGCAGAGACAACACTAATCATAATAATAACATACCAAGAAATAACAAAATGAAAACACGTCAGAGCTTGGGGAATCCCCATTTCCTGTCACATTATCTGAACCAGGAAATAGATTTCAATGATAGCCACAGTCAAACAGTCCAAAGTACAATATACACTCTGTGAAATAGAATCACTACCAACTGAAGGTGTACCTGGAAATAAAGAGCCACTTGGGGTCTGGACAATAATTCAAGTAATCTCTGTTTGTGCTTTTTGTCCATGATTTTCTCAGCATAAGACACGTACACATCAAATTCTTCCGCCTGGAAAAACAAATAAGATGTATTGTATTTAAAGTATTTACTATGAAAAGTTCAAGATATATTGAAGTAATATAAGTGAATATCTTTTACTTAGTAAAAAGAAACAAATTCTCAGAAAATGATGAGTTTAAAACACTTTTTGATATTACTTTATGACTTATCTTGTAACAAGCCATGACATGACAGAGTCATTATTAGTTAAATAGTAAACAAAACTGAAATGAGTCAGCCATTTGGAATGAGAACAAATTACATTATTTATGAGTTCACATGTTCAAGATAGAGACAAACGCACAGAGGTTAATCCTCAAGTCCTTGTTTACGGATTGCACAGAATCTGCCTGTGCACAACTAAGATCCGGTTCCAGAAAGGTAAAAATGTGTGAGTCCGAGACATTTTTTGGCCTTAAAATGGCTGCTATTCGGCCATCTTGAATCGGATCATGAAACAAATGCATGCATATGTCTGATACGATGTATGATGTAAGACATATGTGTCAAGTTTGAACTTGTGTAAAATACTGCTGGATATGAACGGAGGATGCACAAAAGGTCAATCCATAGCCCCTGTTCTCAGACTTGTTTCTTGAGTATACAATATCTGATGTCATATACATCCACACTTTCATATGAAGATCTACAGATGACTCCCTAGTTTTCAGCCAAAAATCATACTTTTCAATGACTACCTAAGCATTCCACAACAAATAACACTTGGTAATTTCTTGTAGTCTTGGGTAAAAATCAGGCATACTTTAATAATTTCAGCGAAAAATCACACTTTATCAACCCTTTGCTCAATTCACATTCAGACTCAATAATTTCTAGTCAAATAGTTCTTTGAATATTTTGACACTAAAAGTTGAGTACCCACCTCAACCATCTCTTCAAAACATTCTCCAATTGCAGGACTAGTGTTGCCTTCATCTGTCATTTCAATGGCATCTTCTAACAATCCCAGCAGTGAGATTGAAAACTCATAAAGCTCCAAAATATTGGAAAACAGCACGTTAACATCCTGGGGAAAAAATTAATTAAAGAATTTTTAATAAGGTGTCTTGAATAGCAATCTAAAACTGGAAAAATTTTTTCTTCTTCTTTCAATGGTCTCAATTCTAATGCCTTTTAAACAAACCTACGACAAAAAGTTGAAAAAGTATAGGATATTCTCATTTCAATAGTTTGGGTCAAAAATACTTCTGCCTTAAGCTCATATGAACATTATAAAAACACATTTTCATGTGTTTTCAGCATAACGAAAATATGTGCATGATGTGACATTTACATGAATCTATATTGTATATATTTGGTATATTTTTTTTTTATTTGCTGTATTTACTTTTATTGGAACTTACAATATGTTTCATCCTTGGTTCGTACAGTATCAATCTCATAATGTGAAGAGGTCATTATGCTAAGTCAACTTATTCCTCTAACGGCAATAAAGTACTCGATCTCAAGAAAATATTTCACATATTTTGCATGACACGAAATCTGGCTTTTGAATGCTTTGTCTGCACGAGAATATATATCTTTTTTCTCCATCATAAAAAGGAAGTTAGCCAAGTAAATAAATATACAAATAAATATAAAAAACAAAAACATGTAAGATCCTCATCCCAAAATACATTTACCTCTTCAGTAAACATTCTTTTTTCTTGTACAAACGGTTCCCTGAATACTTTAATAATCATGTTGAGATCACGGATATACTGAGTCTCTTCCATAATCATATCTTTTACTACTTCATCATAAGTCAGAGTTCCCGTTTTGACAGGTTCATCTTCTATTAGGGAAGAAACTGACATCTCCTCATCTTGATGAAACATGTCCATCAAAACCTACAAGATCAATTCAAGACAATACAGGGTTGATGCTGAACGTTGTCATTGCCAAATTTGTTATCAATATTTAATGCTGTGAAAACCAAAAGTTGCGGAAAGTGAGAATGTTGTCGTCATAGCGAGGTACTATTGATTTCACTATTTAAATATTCACTTCACTAATAATAAAGTTTTATGACCTATGACCTCACAACGGTCATAATGACCTAAGTAAATCGCATCACCGACTCATCCATAAAATGAATAGCATTATGGGTAATAAAACATTGCTTTAATCATCATCACATGAAATGTTTACGCTTTCACATATTCAGAATGTCTCTGAGGGCAAAATTTCACAAAAGTCACTTTCTGTTTTAAGTACCCTCTTGAAATTTTTGTTTACTCACGAAAACTTATTTTTTGCCAAATTGAAACGGTTTACAGTTTACACTTGTTTCCATGTTGCATTTAGAATGAAGCAACTGTTACGGGATGGCGAATCACATCCAGCCAGCAATTAATGCCAGGGTTGCCTGCACATGGTGAATGATGTAAATAGACCATCACACAAGTCAGCATAGGTAAGAGAGCTACATGAATATATAAGCAAGGCTGATGTCTATAATTCTGTGGTTTAGTTCCATTCAATCACGAGCTACTTACAAACATTATTTTTCATCATGGGTGTGCATAACTATGAAAACATTATTGATGTTAGTTACCTTGTCAGCACACATGGCTACTTTGATATCTTGGCAGGACATTTCCACATGTCGTATATTTCTAACATAATTACCAGCCAGCTGTGAAAGTGAAAAAAAAAATTATTATCGGATGATGTAAAGTACACGATGAGAAAAAAACAGACTTGGATCGTTAACTTTTCAGTTCACTGAATAATTTGTAACCGAGATTATTAAGGGAAAGATCAAAATCAAAAGAAGGAGAGGGTGATTTAATTTAGAATTTCAGAGGGGAGTATTCTTTTTTTACTCTATTATTTCTTCTCGTGCAAGGCTAGTGTATATCTCCTGTATATACCTGCATGAACAAGATTTGTTGATAGGACAGATAACAATTACTGTATACTTACTTTCAGTATATCAGCAGCGATGTATTCCAGTACAGCGACAATATACAGAGACACCTGATAATCTATTTTATAACCAAGAACCTCCTAAAAACACATAGTAAAGGTAAAAGCAACAATAATCAATTCTACTGCAATAAAGTGGTTGTTTTGTTTGACCAGGGAAAAGAATACCATTGAAGGTAAAACTTGTAAGCAAGTATACATGTGTTATTGTCCAGGGGGTCAACATTAAGGCATGGACAGACAGATTTTAGCTAGGAAAAAAAAATCCTGTCTTTGTGCACAGGAGATTCAAACTGTTCAATTGCTTACCACATAATAAGTCACAAATGTGATGGAGATTTCGCCAATGTAATTCAAACATGATGAATAAAGAATCAAATACTGACAGTCACAATTTCTGTCGAAAAATTTGTTTTGATGATTGCAGGTTCTGTTCTGATTGCGACAGGCTCATTTATTTTCCAGCCTGCAACTTTTATTTTTAATCTCTGAAATTAAGATGTAAATCTAAACCATCTATAAGCCGCATCTTCTAATCCAAAGATTTGAGGCTCAATACATATTTTTATCAAATTAGCCATACCTTGAGTAGAGGGTGGATTTTATCAACGGGTATCACAAGTGGTGCTTTTTTCTTTCCCTTTTCCAGAGCATTGAGTGCATCCTTGATAGCCCAGGTCTCAATCGGATGCGGGAACGTTTTCTGCACTCTGTCTTCCACATCATGCACATTATGTGGCTGACCAGCGCACAACATAGATAACAGTTTGACTATCAATGACTCAATATATTCCAACGCTTCCTCTTTCGCAACCAGAGACGGGTGTACTTGTCTCTGCACCTGGATAGGAGCGAAATAATCAAATTTATTATAGAGCTCTTATTATATTCAAAATGTTTCTACAGAAAGGTTTTACTTGATGGGGATGAAGTAAGATGGAGTGAGGTGGTTAAAGAGTCGATGTAAGGGGACTCCAGCCAAGTAATTGTTTTTCTTCAAAAGCCAATACCGGATTTACTTTACCAGGTATTTAGTAGCAGGTAAATGACAGGTATATTCTCTATGGTAAAGATAAGTCGTATTTTAATGATCCAGCATACAGTAAATACAATTTTTGGTTCATGTGCACTTCTATTGCAGATGTGTTTCTAATAGAACAAATACAGTATAATTGAAATTGAAATCTCAGGTAGAAATCATTATGTGGTATTTTCACATGACATACATTTATGCAGCTTTGATCAAGTCCGTCAAATGTTTGGAATACATGATTTGTAACATGACTAATCAAGTCACAAATACATAATAAGAAGCTGATAATCTGGTTAATTAAGTAGAACCCATTTAGATCCATACTCCATACATTTAGATCCATATGACAACATAATACAAATACTCATTATGTTATAATTACATTTTGCTATTGAAACAAAAATAATTAAGCCATCAGCAGGTTAGGTATACTGCAAGATTTTTAACAGAAACATGATATATACAAACGAGCCATACTGATCTGGTTTTGTATGACGCTTTCTTTTCCTGTAGTTATTAGGGATGAAAGCAGTACAAAAATGACGTCTCAAATCAAGAAAACAGAATTGAATTTTGAAGCACCTGGAATAAAATGAAATGGACAATGAAACTAGAATTTCCACATGGTTTGAGTTACATGAACCTATTACAATAGTTCTCTTTGAAAAGTATTGGTTGCTGAACAATACTATACATAACATCACATAGACATGAAGAATTTGTTGGTGGCTGTAACACTTGCTCAAACCATGGAGCTATAAACTATAGTTCCATGCTCAAACAAATACATAGGCAATTATAATTTTGAAAATCAAAACAGCTTGCATAAATTAAAACTGAGTCTGGTCCAATCCCAATGCAGTATTCATGGCACTGGTACAATGTTATATACATCAATTATGACATAGTGATTTGAGAAGAAATGATACTAGGGTAGAGGTCGCCATACAAATGATCAAACAACATATCACCATGAACCAATTTGTAAATCAGCACAACTAGTTTCACTTTCATCTGTTTGCTGTTATGACTTGGTATGAATCACCATCTTATGACTAATCATAACTAAAAATATTTAGTTTAGTTCACTGACACACTGTCCCCTTTCACATCTACTAAACTGGACAGAACCATTTTGGCCTTAGTCATACAAGGCTGACAAATTGCTGCAGTGGAATTTCCTAGAGAATTTGAAGTTAAATAACTCAATCAACTGAAATTTGCAGCGTTTTGCATTTTCTGCATCTGTAAATAATCGATTAAGTAAGAAAAAGAGGTTGAGTTTAAGAGACTGCTGAATGAATTGTTGACAACATTGATTCTCCATATCACGGCTATTCCTCTATCCACACATCGGGAGGCCCTTGTGAACTGAAACCGAGATAATTGTATTGCATTTCAGAAGATGATATGTTTATATACTGCATATGAAATAGACGTGATGACAGCTGACATGTAATCTCCATAAACAATGCAATTTTAGTTTTCAGATTTTTATACAGAAGGATAATATTTTCATTTTTTATTCACTTTCACTGAATCCTTTTTAATTATAATCAGCCTTCTAGAATGTGTAGAAAGGAGATGGATTTGGTACAAGTCCAAACTTACCCTTGTTTAGTTTAGGGAAAGGTAAAACCTATTTATTCCCAAATGTGAAACCTTTCAAAACAACTCCTTCATCAAACTCCCATGTCTTGCATTGTAATACACAGCAGAAAAGGACAATTTGAGTTCTGGTTTAGGTAAGTGGTGATTATTGTTCTCTAATCTATTTAAACATGATAATGGACTTTGGAGCTACCATTTTTATTTTCACTGAATATAGAAATAGGATCATATACATCATAATTAAGGAAACATTAGGTCAGACAAGTCCAATAAACTTTCATACAAATTCATTTTCCGGCAGTGATTCTATTATCGTAAAATTGACAATCTTGAATTTACAACCAACACTGAATAACAATATTTAGGATTAAAATGTGAAACATGCACAACAGGTGGAAGGTGAGTGGGTGGAGCTCGCACAGGTGTGTGTGTGTGTGGAGGGGGGAGGTATTCTTGATCATAAATACTTCTGCCCTGGAAAAGCTATTGACTGACTCATTAAAGCATAATAATATTGCTGACATTGACACGCTCAAAAACGTTCATTTCATTTCAAAAAAGATGAATTTCACTAGTCAAAGAAAACTACAATACATTGTTTTTGGATTTCTATAAAAGGGACAATGGGAGAGGAGCACATCTTCAAATTGTCATGTTTTCTAGGAGGGAAAAAGAAAGGGTTAGTTGAAAATTCGTCACAAAAAGTGGACAGTATTAAATCGCTCATTTCATTTTCTTATAAGCAGTTTTTATATTAATTAATAAATGAATGAATACAGATAAGATCTGAAACATTTAATTACATCTGGCTTGGTTAATTGCACTGTTGAATTTGAACATCATGTAACTTTAGGTCCACTCTTGTTTGCCTGGAGTAATTGCATGAGTATGCACTCAAAATAATGAAAGGGTGTAATTTCATCAAATGATTTGTGTGATATCTTCAGATCAGGTTTCATATATTATTCTCAAACTTAAGCACTTTTTTATTTCAACAATAAACAGCATACATAATTACTCAGAGATACCTTAAAAATCAAGTAGAGAAATTGGTCTAAATTATAACTATGAATAAAAACCTTATGTCATAACCACAGTATTATTATTATTATTGTATGCTTATGGCACCTACACGAAATGTATCCTACGTTAGGAGTGGCCAATGAACAAGATGCTGACAATGACCCTTTTACGTAATCAAAATATAAAGAGGTTACGTAAGCAAGTTTCTAAGAACCCAATAAGATTAACAGGAATACAAGAAATTCAAAACTTGCTTCCTGGCTGTATTATGCACGAGTCCTGATTCGATGACGTGATCGTACTATTATGGGAATGGCTTCTCTCGACATACAGTGTACGTCACCTCGTAATACTGACCTTTCTTAAAGCCGGTACAAATAGTCCCCTCCATTTTGCAGCGTTATCCTCGCTTTCAAAATCGTAACTCTGCATGGCGTGGTCGATATAACCGAGGACTGATTCGATTTGTCTGCCAGAGAGGACAACCACTTCGTAACAATGTGGTTGATATCGAACGTTGATGAAGATGTTCAAAAACCAATGTCACTCCTTCAAATCAAATTAAGTCCGGCGACGCAGTTGACAAGTCTGTAACGGTGGAATTAACGCCAAATATAGTACCTCGATCAATTCGTAAATCAATATCTTCAGATAAAATGTAAGGTGTCAAATATAACTTTTCCAAAAACGCCATCAACACACAGACTTACAAGTACAAAAACCGTAGTACCAGATAAAGACTGGGTTGATGCTGTGATGGGTAGAGTTCACAGAGACCAAAAACACGATCCAGAGCACATTGCATAATTATTACGTCATTATATGCTACTCGCGAATGCAGAAAATCACAAATTTCAAGTTGAAGATCTCCATGGTTCTAGATTTACCCAAAGCAGAGGCAAACAAAACAAACAAAAAATAAATTGCACTCGTGATTCAGTCAGGATCTGCAAGAAAATTTAACTGCGCATGCCCGGGATCAGTAAGGATTATAAAGTTTGAGGGCGCACTAACAATCAACTCCGCTATCAACTCGTACGAGTGTTTAGTTTTTCCGGGTTTGATGAACGATTAATAGATTGTTGATTTTGCATGTTACAGTACAAGGCTCTTATAGAACATTTGTTTTTTTTACATAAATAATTGTTTAGTTCGATGTTTGCCGGCATGCTTTATTTGGAAAACAGCCTGAGGGATGCCGTGATTGAAACGTTTAACTTTTATTTTAACAAACTATTGTATAGGACAGTGATCTATGGCGAGTAGAAAGTTCAATGAAATTCGCAATTGAGGCTGTTTACTTCTTATTCTCCAGATTTGTACTTAGCATATCTGAATACACATCAAAAATTACGTTTAACGGTAAATTAGGGTATTTTCATAATAAAAAATAATACTAGTAATTAAATCATCTACAAGAAGAAAACAAGTTAAAAAATTGTCTGTGTTTCAGACATTTTCCAAAAGTTATTAAACATATATTATGTGAGGGATTACCTGACTGCTAATTTTGCTGTTGCCGTTTTTTTCCTATTCCGACTATTAAGGTAGAAGCCTACTCATAAATTAAAATACACAGAATTTATTCATTTTGCAATAAACTGCACTCCAACGCAATATAAGGACATTGACGATAAAAAAGATGGGGGTCACCAGCCTTAATTTTAAGAAATTGAAGGTTGTATTTTAGTGGAAAGTCGCCATCTTGACACTATTATAATGCTTTTACCATAGGTTCCTATGGCAGAGATATTATGCTATATCTCAAAATCTAGCCTGGTGACATAGGCTGAAAAAATCATATATTGTTAATGATGGAGTACTTTTTGTTGTTCTGAATTATTCAATTATTTTAAAAAGTGTCAAAAAATGCAATTTTCATTTAACATTAACGATTTTCAAGAAATATTAGGACACGTTTCTCAAAAAACTTAACTGTAACACACAAAATAATGCTATTTCATTACCATTGGACATTAGCTTTATGATTGTAATATGATGTCTGAATCGCCATAAACTGCTTAAAATGACAATAATTAATGTAAGATAAAAGAAATGACATACGTGATGTTTTAAGAACAGATAAAGATAAAGTGGAAGGAAACAAATAAAAAAAACAAAAAAACATTTGAACGGCGCAGTTGAATCCATTGGCAATGAAACTGAAACTGATAATGAATCTGATAGCAGAGTAGATAAGACGATGTGGATATAGTGAAACAAAACTACTAATGTAGATGAAATCAGCGCCAGTGTAAAGATTATACTGACATAATTTTAGTGTAACAAACTGTACTTTTCTGCTAAGTCCCTTTTTTCAATAGTGGGCGGGGTACATCCTCATTTCTCATATGGGTTAACTTCAAAAATACTAGTTCTATTTTTGTTCAAACTTAATTATTTTGCCGACACCCACCACCGCCCTTCCATAAAGAAATTACCATTCCCTAAAACCCTTAGCCTGTTAGCCTCGTCCCAGGTTTTGATTCCCGGAGCCCTGTTGTGTAAGTGTAGGAAACACCACGGGACAGAAGGGTTTTGTGATGACGATTGATTCACATGTTGCACCAAAAATAAAATACAACCCGATTATAACTTCAAGTAGCATTCATTTGGTACCATGTTTCAACCGTAGTAGAAAATGAGATAGTCAATAACAAAAAGAAAGTAAATGGGTTTCTCTAACAACTTGAAGTTGAGAACTTAAAAATATGTTTTAAAGCTGGAAGTTATTAAAGATATTACAAATGTTCAGCTGAGTATATTTGGAGTTAGTAACTATTGTATAAAAACTAAAACCAACACACACGCAAACAAATTGAGATTGATTCTAGACAATGTGTAATTGTACACAAAACTAAAAACTGTGTGCGTTGGCCATCATCTACGCTGACATCGTGACATCGGCAATGTTATTCTCAATGTTAACTCAATTTAAATACAAGTCAGCAACGTTGAACTAACATAAGATTTTTTTCATCAAAAATTATTTGTCAACCAAGGGTTAAGCCGCAAGGTAGAAAAACAAGACCATGTCAGTATGTGACAATGTGCACATTGCTCATGTTGAAATATCAAGGTATTATTTCGAACAAAGTGCCTCCATATTTTAATTGGCCGGTAAGATGGTTTTCTGAACCGTGACGGATATAAAGGCTTGAGAGTTCGGGCGATGCATTGCTATACTGGCATATTTTGTGACTACCTTGTCCCATGCATTGAATATCAAATACAGTGTGTATAATACCGGCATAACGCGAATACCCGGGTTGCTAGACCATCACATTTTCAATACATGTCTATATTGGCGCGGGAAATCCTGTTGAACTATTGGTCACCCGTTATACATGTAATGTTATGTCCCATTCATTGCCTTTGGACAGGGTGAATGAACTCAAGGCCAAGCAGTCGATTACCGTCATCAGCGAACTCGAATAATTGTGACTCACGGTGGACAGCGGTTCGCGAGTCCGCACGATCTCGTATCCTGTCAGAAAACCCGCTCACCATGCGGAAGCATGTATTTTAGTTTGCTGGAACATTATAAGAAATTCAAGATGCATTGGCCTTGAACAAATGTTCTTTTAAACAGCACGGAGTCGCACATCATTATCTGAGCCAATTCCGTCTATGATAATGTAATGATGTGAAAATTGTATTGATCTGGGAACACAAGTTTTAATTGATGACCCAACACACTCAAATTCACTTTTCCCCAACCAATAAGTAGCCAATATTATAGATGCTGTAACCATAATAATAGACATGCACCTGCTCTTTTTTCGGGCTGATGGTAATGGTCAATAATGACGCAATAGGTGATTTTCCGTACAATTGCGAGATCTCGCGAGATGCATGAAAGACGCGCGTCGAACGTCTGCCCCAAAAATCGAACGATTTGATTTTGAACTAGAATTTCTTTATTTCGCAGCTTACATTGAGCGGCCGATCTTCGACAGAGGAATATTGCTTCCGAATACCCTTACTTAATCGAAATTGCCTATCATCAAATGTGGACAGCACATTATTAAGCATGGAAATGTCCCCGAAATACTTTCGCGTTTGTCGAATCCCACGCGATGTTTGACGCGACTACGACGCTATGACCTTTGTTTGTCCTGTTTTTACGTTCGATTTCACGCATAACGCGTGATTTTCGCAGTGAACGGAAAATGGTCTATTGAAGTTTGTGTCTGGCACGCGTACTAACCACAGTCACGCGTGAGTTACCCACAGTATACTGTGTGAGAGCGTGTATACCGAGTATGTACATTTCTGAAATGAATGTTAGCTAATTTACACGTGACTGTGGTACTAACAAGTACTTGGTCTGGAAAAAAAACGTGACTACAATCGTTTTTCTGTGGGTGAACACATCACTATCTGCGCATGTCTCACATCTCGACGTTAGTTGTAAATAAAATGAACAAACACACAAATAAATAAATGTATTAATACAATAAAACAAAATAAATAAAACAATTTTATATGTTAAATTAAACTAAGATCACAGCAAGCTGACATGGTGTGTATCGCTGTATATGAAACCTCTCCCTTACTTATGAACCCTTTATGTGCTGTAACGTGACGTGAATGACAGCTAAACAGCAGAATTTGTCGAATAAAATAAAGTAAACACCTTTGTATAGCCGCATAGTTCAGTATATGGTGTTTTGACCCATGCTGTACTATTATTAAATACATATTCACAAAACTGGCACAATTTATTTTACAAACTTTTTAAAAAGCATGTTTTTTAGACAACCATATTTATAATGTGTCTATTAAAACAAAATATTCTGAATAATAAACATGAAGTTAGAACGCAAGGTTAGAACTTATGGTTGTTTATTTACTTAATTACCTAATATGCAAAAAAAGAAAAATCATACAATAGAAATTCTGTTGCCTACCTATCTTTTCTGGGGTTTGTGACCATCGTGGAATTATTAAAAAACGTAACACGTCATTGCTAAAGATAATACAGAAACAGATACAGACTATTTATTAAAAACAATGCATTAGTTGAAAAAACGCATATACACTCATTGTTATTTTCATATTAGTACAAAGTACCAGTGTTACTGTTATTATTGTTCATATTTTTGCCGCATACTGAACTCGGTGAATTGTTCATATTCACTGAAAATTTACATCTCACAAGGTTCGATCAAATCGACCCTGGTATTTTGCCTTTGACCTTTATATGATTTGCATATTAAAAATAAAATGTGTCAAAGGTCAAGTCCCCACTGCGCGTGTCTGTGTGCCTGTGTGATTCATTTCCTACGATCAGTTTTATTTGCCACTTCAAATCCTCGTATTGTTTCTACAGCAGACACCGTGGGTAGTGTTTATTTACACCTATTCACAGACTATAGCAATAAGCTCTCGTCGGCGATTGGAATGAGACGTTACCACACCCTTTCCTATCCAATTTTAAAACATTTCCCGACTGACTTGTGTACATCCTTTCAATTTTAAAATACCCTTTCCAAATCCGATCCAGCGAGCTTACGCAGTCTGCATGCGACAGATCACTTTCCAAGCTCCGTGTCTCGCGTGGTTCCAACATAGCGTCGTAACGATTGCTCCAGAAAGTGTGCACCGTTCTAGAGAAAGCGTTATAGTGGAGTTACTTCATTGTTGTATATGTGTCAAAATACCGTCATCGCTGATCGGCTCGTGTTTACATCGTTGATCGGAAAGTGACTGGGAAACGAGGGAATACTTGGTACTGTGTTAGACAAACACGAGAGTATGATGGCGGGTATTGTTCCGACTTCGATCACAGAATCTGCGAATTTAGCAGACATTGACTGGAAAGAACGATGTATTACCCTTGAAAGTCAAATGAACAAGTTCAAAACACAGGCTACGAAGATTCGGGACGTTCTCGGTGAAAAGGTAAGCAACCCAAAACATTAAATTACATTACAGAACGTTTCAGTTTTCACGGTAAATACTGTATTATTACTGCTCATTTTTTAATAATGGAAAGTAAAAAAAAATCGACAAAGGAAATAGAAAATATGTATCAAAAACAAAAGAAAATAGAAAATATGTATCAAATTTAATTCCGTTAAAACGGATGTTACAGATCCCATTATTTTAATCGTTTACAAAATTAAATAATTAAAGTTAGAGAGCCCATACGGTGCTGTATTGTTTGTATAATTTATTGTCAAGAGTTCTATTTTTTGCCCCCTAAATAATGAATGTGAACATTAGTTATTGTAAGTATAACTACGTATAATTATTAACAGTGACAAATAATTCCACAAAAATTATTATTATACTGACTAATATATCATTGTGGAGTCAAATGTAACATTTTTGAAAATCTGTAAATTTTTTTAAGTAAATTTAATATTTAAACACAGTAATTTGATATTCTTAAATTATTCGATCTCTTCTGTGCATCCTGGACAGACTGTTTGTCTCAATGTGTCATGTCTGTCACACAGGACATTGCTCTTTGTATTTGAAATCATATTTTCTAGCGTGACTGTTGTTGCTGGTACATTAAAAATGACTATTTAGTGTAAAACTACAGACTAGTTTACATGGGTGGGGCAACGCTTATTTGTCATTTAAATGAATTCACCACTTACACGTATATCAATCACCCATAGACCCCAAGTAATAAATTAGTAGCATTCCCCCAAAGATTATATTATGCAAGATAAACAGCACAGTCTGAATATTTATTTAGATTTTTTAAAAAATAATCAATTTGAAACTATTCATGTTTAAAATAAACCAAAAAATAAAAGCTGAATCTGAAATTAATTAATTGTTGCAGTCACTGTTGAAGTTTTTTTTTTTTTTTTGGAAACCATATTAAAGGGGTAATTTTAAAAAATAGAGTGGATGACATTCAGTCTGTCTTGTATTACTATGAGTCATCTGGCAGACATCAACACTGATGACTAATATTTGTCTAGGCCAGTGAAAGAAAACTCTTTCACGAATGTTACATGCAGGGTTCCTTTACTTGTAGACTTACTAACAACTTTGTATTTATTCCGTGTATGTCAGTCTGACCTATTTAAATTCAACAAAAAAAAAAAATGTTCTTTTCTTGTCGTCAATGTTTTAAATTTAGATATTTTACAAAAATAAAAAAAATAACGGAAAAATATCTTTCTATTTTTTCTCCATTTGTTCAGTAATTCATTTAAGAAATAAAAATGCTGTTGAACATTTGTATGGCTTGCCAGACTATTCAAATTTCCAAATCGGTGTGACCGTTTGTACAATGGGAAAAGCATGAACCCAGATCACTCCGAAGTCTATAGTGTTAAGAGTCATGCAACCTTGAATGAATTGATTGCTTTTCAATAGGCTGAATATTGCTTTGAGTCCCTCACCTTACTTGAACCTACTCCACTTCTTAACAATATCTCACTTATTTGACCTCCCCCCCTTTAGAGGTCAGACAACTTGGTAAGTGTATAGTTTGGAGGCAGGGAGGTTTAATATAAAGACTGGAATCACAATAGGGGGTCATAAGTTGAAAAAGTGTATAATATTATTATATTATCGTGTTTAAAATATAGATGGAGGAATTGGAACAAAATGTCAAGACATCCACTGAGAGAGCTGAGAAAGCTGAACAACAGGTATGTATCAGACCCATGCTGTAAGAGGTCCACCACTTTGAAAATAAAAATACTTGAAAAAAACAAATTTGAACAATAAATAAATTATATTCTGTGTAGCATAACATATTCACAACATGGAAGTTTTAACCAAATAAAGTAACTGATTTTACTTGACACCCCATTATCAGAGTTTTGTAAAATAATTACAAGGTTAATTAAAGAACACCTGCATTGAGTGATGTCAGTGGATATTCTAGCCTGGGTGTGGATTGCAGTGTGTCACCACTGCCTTGTATTTAGCTATTTTGACCTTTCAGGTGGCCCACTCAAGTGTTTTATCTGATGTGTATCTGTATCCCACTTATACAAGTAACTATTCAGGAATTGCATATGTACATCAACACTTTGTAATAGAGCCCTTTACCCTGTCAAAAGACTTGACCTTCAACCCTCAAAAATATACCCCCTCCCTCCTGTGTGTTTCTCTTACAGTCTGTATAGAATATTTGACTTTAAGTAATTCTGTTAAATCTTTGTGTGCTAGTAAAAGTCACCTTTAATAAAAAACTACCCATATAATTTTTTGTGAAATGGGGGACACACAGATGATAAATTCTGTAATTACTGTGCTATGTACACACGAATCGTAGCTGTCTTCCACCTATGCCATACCAATGTACCGTCAAACTATTTTGTGTGTGGTCATTTTTTTAATGTGTATGACTCGGTTCTTTGTAGGTCATTGAACTTCAAGAGAAATTATCAGCTACTAAATCTCATAGTGCAATAAATAACGATGACGGCGATGGTGACGGAATAGGAATATTAAAGGAATGTTGCAAAGAAAAAGATGAAATTATACAGAATTTAGAAACACAAATTGACGAGCAGGTATGTCTGGCAATTTACTGGCTGTTACACGGTGAACTCGATTTACAGTTCAACTGTGCGTGTCTATGTGTTGTGTAAACATTGGCTTTATCCTCTCAATATAACTGTAACAGGGTGCAACAGGGACAATTGACCCTTGCCCTTTTTATGGGTCTGTCCCACTTATGTAGAGAATCTATTGAATCAATATATATTATATTGGGCACTGTCCTAGCAATATAGTCTTGCAGTTTTGGAATTGAGTTTGAAAAAGGATGACATTAACTGTAAATACATTGTAATTATAAAATGCGGTACCATTTTATGTAGATGCATATTGAAGACTTTTTACGTGAATACACTATCAAAAAGTCCAATTCTTTTACAGCATTTAAGCTTATTTGTGTGAAAAATATGTTGAAACAAAAATAATACAATTATTGTTTTCTCAGTCGTAGAGTCTATTGAAATTTAAAACATAACAGGGAGTACATAAATGCCCCAGTATTAAAGCTGAACTTTGATATACATGGACATTGTTCAGTGCACAGTCTCTGTAATAGAGGGACTGTGTTCAGTGATTGGCTAACTCGGGTTTGAATCTCTCCTCCGACTGTAACTTTGCATATTCACTGGGTTTTAATTTAACACAAGTAAAATATGAATGAATAAACCCTAACCCATTTCATTGCATATACCAGTATATATGTATATATATGCTAAATGTATTTTGAATATTACTACCAATTGTACTGTTAATTTATTTAACATGTTTTTTTGTTGTTTTGTTTTATATTTACAGAGGAGACTTCGTCATCATGAGAGCAAACTAGTGGAAACAAAGGCAGCCAAAATAAAAGAGTGGGTGACCACTAAACTAGAATCGGTCAGTTTAACATATTTCGAAATTTGTGTTTAACCTTTCGTTTTCTTCATACTACAGTATTATAGAGAATGAAAATGAAAAAAAAAATATAATAACTAGATAATACATAAATTATGCTTGGTGATATGGGCTGAATTGAATAATTCATTGTTTATTGATATAATTTTGAATATTGTTTTAAATTTTTCTAAAAATAGACATTTAATCTATTAAGCTTCCCGCATGTAATTATTTTTCATTATTTTTGCATTGCAAATTTTCTCGGTAACACAAAATTTGAATTCTTCAACCCATGATCTATTGTTTGGCATTGTTCTTGTGCGTACTTACCTGCACCATAGTAATTTAACATAGTGCTACTACACAGATACTTAGAAATTTATTCTACAATTTTAGGAACTGAGCAGTGTTTTTTTTTGTTTTTTTTTTTAAATTTTGTTGTGCCAGGCGACAGTTCCGGACATTGAATGTCACTGTTGTCTCTCCTGACTTTTTTTTTTTGTATGTGCAAATTGCAAGTGCTAGTGCTGACACATAGTGCATTTTTGCCACAGTGTGTTTGTTTCATAGCAAACTGATTCAGCAGATTTCGTATTCAGTTCTAAGTTGGTTCAATGTTCCAGTTCAACTTTGATAAATTTATCAATTCATTAATAAAAATAATATTTGTTTATTTTAAGTTGGAGCAGGAAAACCAACAGCTGAGGTCAGCGAATACAGAGTCGATGGAAGCTATCAGAAAGTTACAAACTAAAGTGGACATGTGTGAGTTTTTATATTGGTTCATACTGCACATTTGGGGTTGAACAGTTAATATTTATTTTTGAATTCAAAAGTTTGTTTGAGTTTTTGAGTGCATATCCGGGAATTGAGTACATCAATTTATTTTTGTAGTGTTTAATGACAATAAAAACAATAAATATTCTGTTTAAAGATGTTTCTGATGCTAGAATTGCAAGACGAAAAAAATGTGTGTGTGTGTGTGTGTCGTGTGATTTTTGTGTTACCGTAACATACAATGTTTTATAATACATCACATGGAACTCATATCAAACGTGACTTGGTGTAATTACTGTCGATTGTATGACTGAAATATACATGTGTTCTATATTGTCTTTCAGATGAAAGCAACAACTCAAGGCGTTCTATTGGTGTGCAATACCGACCACTATCAACGGCCATGGAACCATCAGATTTAATTGAGAGGCCTTCATCTTTGGGCATGAAGGAAAAAAAACAAGATGGGAGTGACCCAGTATTGAATGTACCTTGGTCCCCAGTGCACGCCCTTATAGAAGCACAAAGAAGCCGATCAGAGAGCCAAGCAACTAACACAAATAACATTGAAAGTGGGAAAAAGGGACATACATGGCCTAAAAGAAAGTTACTGAATAAAAGCAACAGCAAAGAACTTCAGGTCTTTGATATTGACTTTAGCAGTCAAGGTAAATTTGAAGAAGCTAGAGGTCTTGAAGAATCGAGTGATGTTGCTGATCTGAATGAACCGCTATATGAGACGTTAAGAACAACAAAGCGTGAGAATAAACTGTCGGCTCAGCCAACATTGTCTGTTGAGTCACCAGAGTCATCTACAGGAACACCGCCCATGTCAGTGTCCCCTCTAACTGAAGAATCACCGCCGGTGGCAAATACGGGATCACCGCCATTATCCATGTCTCCGACGTTTACAGCAAACAATACTAACTCTGATTTGTATGCAGTACCAAGGAAATACAAGCAGTCTTCTTCATCGTCATCATCGGCTGGTCTTAGCGACGGTAAAGAACCATATGATAATGATATAGATGATGAGACAGGTGAACCGCCAATGTTGCCACACAGAATGACCAATATTGACATAATTTCTATAATTGAAGACGATGACATTGAATCCGAGACTAGAGAAGGCAAAATGAAACCACCAACTCCACCTCATCGACTGCCATCTTGGGTAAGTGTGTTTTTTAGGTGTGGCTCATTATCACCTGAAGGGGTGACTAAGTAATCGACTTATGCTAATTTAAATAATGTACTAACAATTAATGATCTGTCCCCTGTAAGATTGATTTTGAAGTCTTTGCTATATTTTTTGAGCTCTGATTACATATTTCCTTTTTTTCTCTTAATAGGAAGACCGTATAATTTCCATGGCTGCCAGCGGGATGAATTTGTCTCAGGAAAATTTATCACTGTCAGTAGAAGGTATGTGGTATTATAATAAACGCAACAGGGGAGTTATTGTTGGTCTGTCATGTGAGGTTTTCAATTAGAAAATATAATTTGCTTCTGTAGAGGAGAAACTGTCACTGTGCTACCTTTTCACTAAATAGCAGTACCATATTTCATGGTTTGAACCTTACAGAGGCATTGAAGGACAATACCTTGATGCCCTTAGATATTCTCTGTTATTCCTATGTGGTAAGGCTATTTTATGAATTTTGGCATTGGGAAATTAGTGCCTGCTCAACTCAAAGTTCAAGTCGTGCTGTCACTGTGCATTACTCATAGAGCAATTAGTATATCATAGTTTGTGTTTGATTTGTTTAAGACTCAGATACAGCTATTTACCAGACAAGTGAAGTTAGTCACACCAATCAGCTTTATCAAGAGATGCAGCCCCCAGTTTACACAATTCTGAAAGGGGTAAGGTGCAATGTAATATTTTAATCACAATTTACATATTATGAATTATATGATATGATATTCATAAAATCATACTTCATTCAATGATGTCACTTACTGACCTAATATGGGCATTGTTGTCATTCAGAAAGAATTCAACATCATTGGTAAGGAATGTTGTACATTTCTTAGTGTTTCTGATACTGACCATGGATATTTGTTAGACATATAATGCATTTATGAAAGGATACCCGGTGTCTTTTATGTTATTTGTGTGGGGAACAGATTTTCTCATTTTATTGGAATTTCTGATATTTTATTCCAGCGAGCTGTTCAGATCCGCAGTACACCCTACAGTGGAGACTCTTCCGATTCAGATAACGATGAAAACTCAGCTACCTCATCCATGGTGACCACTTCACCAACCAGTGTTTCCATGGCGATGTCTCTGTCCAGTCCAAAGAAAAGTCGAACGAGTACTGCAAATAAACGAGGTTTGTTTTAATGCATGTTGTTTATTCACCCCACAGTTATGTATGCTTTGGTTGTAGACCATTGCGCAGAGTTATCGCTGTTGATTAAACACCTAAATTAGGTGATGTAACAGAACACTATTCATTTTTCATTTTGTCACTGATGGGGTCATTATTAGGACTGAACTTGAATGCCACTTCTGAACAGATCACATGACATATGATTTATTTATGATGACTTGCCTGTGTCATGAGATTACTGGTTATGTCTTCTTCTAGGCGTATCTATACAGTCTAATAGTTCAGAAGGAGATTACTGCATGCCTCCTGATGCTGCACCCATTATGGAAGATACTGAAGAGTATGAACAAAAATTTTCAAAAACAACCCAGCCAGATTCACCAAGATCCACTAAAGTAAGTTTCTATTCATCTTAACCCTTGAAAATCGTAAATGCAATTCACTTGATTTGATCATATCACTATACTTGCTATGATTTATTGATTGATTTGTGGCTTTCAGACTTTCTTAACCAAATTTTTCTGCACTTTTTTCTAATATTCTTCAATATTTCTGGAAAGGGCTCCGAATTTCGGAGCCAACATAGAAAATTTGTTTTTACTCAAAAAATTTGACTATTTTTGTCCTAATCTCCTAAGGGGAAAGTGCAGACTATAAACAGGACTTTATGTGAACTTGTGATGAAAAGATGAAACTTGGGGTGAAAAGGTTAAATCCTCTATGCTAGTATGCAAATTTTCTATGCTAAATTATGCAAGTTTACTAAAATAACACCATCTGTCATACTGATACACTGTAGCATCTGGAAACATATGTAAATTAGTAAAAGTGCATTGGCGCAATGTTGCCATTGTCAGTGGTATGGAAAAAAAAACGTGCTTTCACTGATGTCTTCACATCTGTTTATTTTCAGGACATTCTTGAAAAGAGTGGTTATTTAACTAAACTTGGTGGAAAAGTGAAAAGCTGGAAGAAGAGATGGTTTGTTCTCCATAATGGTCAACTAGTGTATTATAAATCTAAGGTACATACTTTTATCTACACATGTACATGCAATTTAGCGTCCAGACTTTTGACACACATGTCGTCTGATATTCTCTGTTGGGGGTGAAATTGGGGTCATAGGTCAAGCATACATGTATGTGATATTTTACATAAGTACATTTGATAAAGATAGTGACATTATTATGTGAGATGCTGAATTGTTTGAGTATGTAAAATAGAGTTACAAAAATGACCACGCCCATATTTCAGAAACCACGCCCACTTTTGCAAAATCACCCCAAAATTGTAACTCAAACTTTAATTAACAGTTAACTGAACTTGGAGTAACTTTGCTTGGTAATGTTTTAGTAGCCCGATGTCCATTACTCAAACAATTCAGCATCATTCTATGTAGTACTTATCTACCAATTCCCAAAATCACATAGTAATTATAATTTTTAAAACTTGTGTCCCGTTCTATTCAGAACGACGTCAGCAATAAACCGCTGGGTCAAGTGCCGTTGGACGGTAAATGCAAAGTAATGAAATCAGAAAGCTCGCATTCTTTTGAGATTGTTACATCGCAGAGGACGTATTACTTGTCTGCCGAATCAAACAACGCTGTGGATGAATGGATCCAAGGTAAATGTTCGGTCTTGCTGTTAGCAATATTGTCTGTCACTGTCCATGCCATTATGAGTAAACATTGTGGATATGTTGTTCTAGGTGTTTGTACCAATGTTTTCATTCCCAAATATTAACTTACCTTCTCTAGAAGTAGAATTGCACACTCAATTACCAATATATACTGCCATTAATTAGTCCTCGTTCGAACGAAGTCCCAAAACGGGGACTTATAATTCAGTCTCTGTACGTGCGTCCGTGCGTCCGTCCATCATATCTCAGAATCCCTTGGACCGATTCTGTTCATTCTTTGCATGTGCCTAGTACTTTATGTGGGACATATGCACATGCAGTGGTTTAGCGATTCGATTCAAAATGGCCAACTGGCAGCCATCTTGTTTTTTGAAAATGTTTTATTTTGGACATGCTTTGTCCGTTTTCATTCCAACTTGGTACATAGATTATACATATTAGAATACATGTCCATGACGATTTACTTCACAATTGGATCAAAGATGGCCGACTGGCAGCCTTCTTGTTTTTTTTTTATGCGGTATCTTGGATGTGCTCGGTCAGTTTTCATTCAAATTTGGCACATACATGTACTTTATACATGTTAGGATGCATGTCCATGACAATTTGTTTCAAAATCTTGTCAAGGATGGCCATTGACAGCCATCTGACTTTTTGCCTTACTACTATATTTCCAGAATTTATGTACCATTTTCATTCGTATTTGGCAAATACATCATACATATCAGTGTGTTTCATAATCAGATCAAAGATGGCCGAATAACGGCTGTTTTTATTTTTAGCCATATTACTACTACACGGAACACGTGTTTTGATGTAAATAAACAATCTGTTGTATACATCACTTGAAACTCAAGTTTCAAGGACACGCTCGCCACAACCCCTCCGCTTTAATATGACGAGCATAAAGAGAACTTAATTTAACGGGGACTGTGTCATTTTCAATGACTTGTTTAAAAAGACATATGTCTTCTAATGTTGATACCGGTAATTAAAGTTTTAGGACAAACTGTTGTTGATTGACTGTATATACATAAAACAATGTACACATTTCTAATATATCTCAAATATTTTTTGTTAAACAAGCTCTTTAGTTTGTCTCAAAAATCTGAGTTCTGATATTCTTTTGCCAGGCAATAAAGTTGGTAATTGCTGACTGAAATTAGATCCAGTTTATTTGCTATAATCAGATTATATATAGAGCTACATACATTGTGAAAATTAAATTATTGACAATGGGGATAAAAAGTTTAAACTGTCGCTAAAATACATGATTAATCGTAATTTAATTTATCATGATTCTTATCGATACGGTATGCTCTTATTTGCTTGGTTAGAAGCGTGTCGCTTTATTAGTACCGTAAAATATGTATTAGAAGCCGCATCCCTAATAGAAGTCGCACCCATTCTTTTTGAATAATTGAGATCCAAAAATTCATCATTTCTCATAAGTGTGGATGCTCTATCAGAAGCCGCATCCCCTCTGTTGCATTGTAACATTTTAATAGAAGCTGCGGTTTCTAATACAGATTTTACAGTACTATAAGCCGAAAAGCTCGTCATAAAAAAACAGACTAGCCTTAGTATGGCACATTACAGCTGGAGTTGGAAAGCTTCTAAACATATTATACTTATTTCATGACTATAACTTCACCAGCAATAGTATGATTTCTATTGTTTGTTTGTTTGTTTAGCATTACAGGGTGTTGTCAGCTTTCAAGATGGCACTTATTGGGATTGCTCTGATAACCACGGTGTAATGAAAGGTTGGCTGGTAAAGGTCAAACATGGGCAACACCGAAAGTGTTGGTGTATGCTGGTCGGGAAAACGCTAACTTCGTATAAAACACCCACAGATAAGGTATGTAATTCCTTTACTAGTTTGACCACCCAACTTCTCTTAAAATAATACTTTTTATTTTCCTCTGACAATTGAACCATCTGGCAGGAAATGCCTACATTCTGAAGTTATCAATCAACTTTGATGTTTCTTCATATTTTGAAGAATAAAACTTTGTATCACATTATTTGAAACAATATTAACACACTGCCTGCCCCAACAGACATACCAAAATCAAAAGGAAGAAAATGAGTCAGTAGGCAATGCGATAACATTTCCAGTTTCTGTTATCAAAACCTTCTCTAAGAATTCATTACAATATAATTTCATTTTTCTCAACAATTCAGCCACTCGTATAATTATTTCATTGTTCAATTAATAGAATGCTTACAATATCATTTTTTTTTCTTAAATTTTTTTTCTATGAAAATTAACTGATCTATACTTATGCTTTCTATTCATTCATTTAGATTGCTTTGGAAAGCATAGATCTACAAGGAAAACGAGTTGAAGAGATTGACAGTCGACTGAATAGTGACTTGTTAGGTGTACAGAAGCAACTCAAATACAGAGTAGTCATTCATTTTTCAAGCTCCAATAATCAGGAACCTGTGTATCTGCTGTTTAGTACCAAAGAAGACAAGGTAAATATCACCATTTAACACTCCATTCACAGTATATTTTTCACGAATCTTTTCTGGCAATACAAAGTGAACAATTTATTTTACAGAAATGAAAAACACAAAAATGAAAAATGAGTTTACTCTGCAAGTTATGTAAATGCTGCCGAAACGATATATACTGTATTTGAGATTTTGACTCCCCTGTGTGAAGCAGAAAAAGGGAGTCTTTGCAGTTAGTGTGTCTGTGTGTCTGTTCCACTGATATCTCAAGAACCATACATTGAGTTTTGATGAAACTTAGTGCATAGATGCTCTGGGCCAATGTGCAGATTTGATTAGGTTTTGGTAAAAATCCATGCATATTAATTACCTAATTTGCATGATAATTAGCTGATTAGCTGTTCCATGATTGTTCATTGGATTTTCATGAAACTTGGCACATAGATGCTCCAAACTAATGCGCAGATTTGATTAGTTTTGGGTAAAAATCTGTGCAATATTAATTACCTAATTTGCATAATGATTAATCAATTTTCCACTGATATCTCAAGTACTAATCATCACATTTCAATTTGCATAATTAATTAATTTTCAGCTTTTGATATTTCAAGTAGTAATCATCACATTTCAATGGAACTTAGTACATAG